GTGTGTGTGTGTGCCCCTTGGAATCACAGGGATCCTATAGGATTGTTTTGCTGATTTTTGAACTTTTTGCAGGGGAGCGGTGGGCATTCTTAAAGTCACCGCTCAACGAAGTCACTTCAAGTTTGCTGTGATATGCAATCTGGACGCAGATTGCACGTACCTGCGAGAAGATGATGAACACATTGACTCTAGTGGTCCGCCCTGTCTCAGGCTGTTTGCAGGTCTTCTCAGGCTGCGGTAAAGTGCGAATGCATTTGCAGTCACGCACGAACGTCGTCAACCTGTCGCGTGACCGTCGGAGCTTTTGGTTTTGATGGCCGTTGAACATTGATGGACCTCCACTTCTTTTCAGGTTTTCTTCACCTGTACCCTTAGGAATTGGTTACCTAGGCCGGCGTGTAGCAAACCGCTTTCAAGTCAGTACGCACTTCTATAAGTGTGTGTGTGTGTGTTAGTCCCCATAAAGAATGATACAAAGTGGGCGGTGATCCTGTGTTGCATGTACGCGTATAGGTGCGGAAGTTTGCAAGGCTGACTATGAAGCTAACTTGGGTATAGATGGGCTCGATTGACTGCTGCAGAGGTTCTTGATCTAAGTTGAATCCAAGATTTAAGATGACCAGTTGAACGTACATAGTCCCCTCGGCAAGAAACTGCTCAGTGGTACAGTGTCACCAGGGCTTGTTAGTGTGCATATGTACTTTTCATACAACGTGTTTGAATGTCCGGCGCATGTTTATGTTGCCTTGGCCTTCGCGCTGGGCAGCTAGGAGCATGTAGAGAGCTGGAAGGGTAACTTCACATTGAAAAGTCACGTCCTAGCAATGGTCGGCTGCCCTGACCCTTGCCATGATACCCAGTGGACACGCATGACTCTGTCTGGCAAACGGGTTCCAACCTACTTAGCGATGGAGTTTTCAGCACCTTGGGAGCGCGGTCCAAAAAACTGCAAAGGACCAAAGCGAGGGTGGAAAGGACAGAAGAAGATGCTACACGACCCAGACGGAAAGTTCAAGGTGGTAAAGACCAAGCATGGCTGGCTTAAGATTCCCGCGCCTGAATCCCTAAAGGAGTACACCAAGTGAATTTCCACTGGATTCTTGCACTGAATCACTGAATCAAGGCAGACAGCAAGCTGCATATGAAGATGTCAGATGATGCTGTCCATTTTGCCCCACAGTATGTGTGCTGGAAGCAGTGAGCAGTGCTGTTCCGCCTGGTGTTGCTGCCATTTCACTTTTTGGCAGTGCTTGTACAGATGACTGCGGGCATCACAAAAACATGCAAGTATGAGAGCCAGCGTGTGAGTGACTTGTGCTGAAGGTTACCTAGCTAGGTACACCATCGGCATTTGGCACTTTTGTTTGATATGGTCCAGTCCAGCGGTGTGGTTTCTTTGAATCAAGACAGGGGATAAGTATGTTAGAGTAGGAGTATGAATAAGATGGATGCAGATGATGTCATGCTGTTGTTTGTAGCAAAATGGACAGTGTTTCAAACGGTATGTATCAAAGCAATGAGCTGCATCGAAAGAAATAAGAACAGCATCCAAAGTCCAACAATTGCATCAAGAAGGTATTTGCCCTGTTCCCTTCGTCTCAAGTGATCGGAACCCACGAGACTAAAACGACCACAGGGGACCTGGAGGCCCGGACTAGGCCTGACTAGGCAAGCGGAGCAGGCAACCTGAGGACCAAGGAGACTTGGTCCCAGCGCGGACCAGGTGACCAGACCTACTTAGACAACCTACTCCGGTACCGCCTCCACCCATTCATTAAGCCCGAACGAAACAGCCAAACCACAAGAACCTGCGGGGGTGGAGGTGGCACGGTGGTGGAGGTGGGGGAAGTGCTGCACCAAATCTGCAATTTAATAATGCTTAACACCCACAAAATGCTGTGCTGCACCAAAACTGGGCTCTGGCATCTTGAAGCATCACGCATTGGCATATCCTATACTATACCAGATAGAGTGGGCAGTGTGGCTCTCCGAAAAGGAAGTGAATACCAATGCGCACAAGTAAAACGTTGAACCATGTTTACTTGAAATATGTGTTGAGATATTTTCTCGCTCGTTTCCAAGATGTTCCAAGCCTTCGATGTTTTTGCACTTGAAAGCCAGAAATGTCAGGTGCCACCAATGCCTTTTGCAAACTTTGAGCCCTTCGGCCGCCAAGGCACTGCCCAGGACCACATGAAAGCGAAGAAGTGCTGCATCCAGTCTATTGTATGTCATTTAAATTATGACATCGCCCAACCACATACGAAAAGAACAAGTCACTGCCCGAGTCAAGGCCGCACTGGAGTTGTACACATCAAAACCTGAATCATTTCCGCGCCTCACCTTCTCAGATTCATGCACTACTGACTTTGGAGTTGACCGAGTGGAACCATTTCCTTCTGATTGGCGCAGGAGCTGACTGAGAGCTCCATCAACGAGACCAATGCCATGGTTGGTGGGCCCCAGAACCATTGGACTGGGTATGTTTTATGTGAAGACACCAGTCACTAGTCACTATGTATCAGTTGGAAGGAATATGAAGGAAGTGTCCATTTGGCGTTATGTTTGGTAGTAAAGATGCAGCAAGTCACAATGTTTCTTGTACATCAGCAGTCTTGTCTCCTTGTCAATCGCAGAGTCCAAAACCTCATAGAATCATGTACCTCAAATAACAAATGCGGCCAAATCCTGGAGCAACAGCTGCAAGGTTGATCAGTTGGAGAAGGCAGAAGTTGCTGAGGAGAAGCGCTCCGTTTTTCGTGCTTTGACACGGCTGCGAGGTGGGGATGTCAGAAGAGAAGACAGCAAGATTATTCACAGGGCCTAAAAGAATTCAGGTCAAATCACGCAAGAAACAAACTGATCAAAATGGTTCCCGGGCAAATTGAGAATGGGCAGACCTGACTCTCTTTCTATTTCAAAAAGTAGCTCTGCAGACGTTGGCCATGGTCATGGGATTCTGCAGTGTGACTTTGCACATCACACCCTGCCAATACGGGCTTCATCCCCACTCCGTCAAAGTTACAGGGGGAGCAACATTTATGTGAAATTCAAAGACGTCTTGGACAGACTTTTGTTTCACACTTCAGGTGTCGCTCTTTCCTCCTTCGATGGTGTGGCAGAGCTCCTCGGCTTTCACAGGCAGAAATTGCACCAAAAGAGGTGCCACTTGCTTGGTTTGACTTACTTTGGAAACGGTGTATTGAAATGGATTGGCTGGCGCTTTCAATGAATTTGCCTCCGGACTCTCAGTATTTGTGGACTTAAGACCTGCATAGCGTTGTTGGCGGCTGAAATCTTAAATGTGAGACAGAAACATGATTAACTGGGAGCACAAAGCAATTTTGGACGCGGTGCTCAAAGCAATGCATGCAGTCAGACCAGCTCATTGGTGCGCTTTCTGAGGGCTCAATCCGCCAACATTCAGGAGCACGCTAGCGCACTCTTTGCTTTGGGTCCCGGTATTTCTTATGCGGTTCAAAAGAAACCTGACTCCACTTGCTTGTTGGAGCTTCAAAGAAATTAGAGGCTACGCTGAGTACAGCCCAAGGTCAAAAAGGCTATGGCTATTATTCTCTGCCCATGTTCGTAGGATTTGAAGATGCAATGCTGCAATACTTTAAGTTTTTGGTTAAAGTAGTTTGAGCATCCAGAGTTTGTCAAATTCTGGGAGTGAGGGGATAGCATTTAGGATACTGAGAAGCATTCTTTTCAGCAGGACTATACACAGAAGAACCACTGGCGAGAGTCTCATCCACTCCAGCACCTGGCAGAGGAGGAAAGTGATCCTTGGCCAATGTGAGGGGAATAACCCATAATATGATACTTGCAGTATCTTGCAGCAAATCTTAGATTCTTAGATACTTCTACTGTGATCGACTTGTTGGATCGGAGTCAGAAGCATCACAAGGTCGGCTTGATTGGGACGCATCCCAGGGCTACAACACTGTTGTCGTTTTTGGCGGCCAGGCTTCTAGGATTAGTTTGCTGGAGAGGGGGGTTCACCAAAATCACAGCTCGACGCAGAATGAAATGAGCATCCAGGAATCCTTCAGAGGGCCGCTTGAAGCAGGATCAAATGGCCTTCCTACAGGTGGAAGTAGGAGCTGATTCACGCTGATTCCCATGTGTCACCACGAAACTGCGTTTAGTAGGAGGTTCTTGTGCTGACTTTGAACATTGGAGTGGTCAGAGTCTATGATGGCGACTGAGGACGTGGCCAAGTGGGCCTTCCCCGCAAATGCAGACTGATGTAGCCAGAAAAGGTCCCTCAAGAAACAGTCAGTCCTGAAAAGGTCCTTTGTCAGGAAGCTGTTCATTGACTTTCTGCATCTGGAAAGGCGTGGACACTGGAGTGGATAGCGGACCAGCAACGGTTTGGGAACACACCGTCTTCCAGAGCCATTGGCTTCTTCCAACAGAGTAACAGAAAACAATGGGCAATGGGGTTCAACCTGCTTCGGCACCAACCTGCTCAGTGCATTGCAAAGCCAATGGTCTACATGCCGCCATGTGCTTCTCTTTTTGCCACGAAGATGATGTGACCAGCACAAGCTCCTGTACCCCACTTTCCTCAACAAACTGTTGATTCTTCAAGCAATCCATGGCAACCAATGTCTCATCAAGTCCGAACCTACGCAGGGCATAGGGTCGATCCTGCCAATCAAACGTTTACAAAACTTTAACTTGAAAAATTTTGCCTTTTCGTGCCATCATGGCACCCCTTCTGGGGCTCTTCGACAGTCTGGAGCCCAGGGTGACAGCAGCGTTTTCACCGACATGAGAGTGGTTTGGCTTTGTGATTCCCCGCTTTTTCATGAAAGTTTGGACAGGTGTAAAGCACACCAACATACGCTGTTCATGGCTCAAGAAAAGCACGTCCGCTTTGTCCATGGTTTGTGGACGCCTAGGTTATGAGCCCAAGGCAAGTCAGGTAAGTCCACCCTCCTTTTTTGGAGGTTGTTGGTCCCCATGGCGGACTTCAATTCGCGACGCCGGCGATCAAGGGACGCGGCGCGGGTGGCAGATCCTGGTGACAGACCAGGAGCGCTGCGGATTGGTGCAGCGGATGAGCGGCTGGAAGCGCTGCTGGAAGAAGAACGGGAAAGCCGGGCTGCATCAGTGCCTGTGAGGACAGCGGCAGTTCGAAGGCTAGCGGCGGCTCCAGGGCAAGCGACTCAAGCGACGGCAAGCTCCTCGGTCGAGAAGACCAAGCAGGGAGCCGGAAGGTCGAACCATGGGCCGCGAGTCTGGGGCAGGGCAGGTCACGATCGAGTCGGCACCGGGATTGCTGGACTCGGCTCGACAGTCGCTGGAAGTGCTGCAAAGGGAATTTGGAGGCAATCCTCAAGGGCAGGGTCTTTTAGCTCCACTTTTACATCACCACGATCTAGGACACCTAGCCGGAAGTGTTTCTGATGTTCATGGAGGGCATGGAAGCATGTTGGGATCGCCCCAATGCCCGGTTCCACCTCAAGGGAGACCAGTGAGCTATGCGCCTGGAGCGGACATGGGACCACAACCACGGGTGCTTGATCCATACTCAATGGCTACACCACCGCCAGTTAGTGGGGCGAATGTCAATCCATTTTGGAGCTCACAGCCTCGGTCATACCCAGTTGAAGGCAGGCCGGAGCATGAAGTGGCACTTCCAGGAGATGTTCGAAGATCCCCATCCTACCTTAAGAAGTGGAGGCCATTCGGGAGAAAGTTCTCAAGGAGGCAGAGGACCTCTTTGCAAAGGAGATCAAGCGGGTCACGGGAGGTGGTGAGTCATCGTCCTTTGAATCTGTTCCAAGTGCGGGCCGTGAGCCGGGGAGGCCGACGGGTGGTTCGACTGGATCTGGGGCGGGAGTGAATGGTGTGGCTTCACAACTCAGCATGATGGTCGAGGTCACCAACAACATGGCCTAGAATGTCCACCAGGGCTGCAAAAAGGGGGAACTAGTTGGAGCCATCTCAAACGGCAGTGACTGCTCGAGAGGTTGAGACTCAAGGTTGAGCGCCCTTTGGACCCTAGCTATGAAAGGGTGGAGCGCCGTGGAGTGGCCATTTTGCTAGGAGTTCTCCCTGACCAAGTTCGAAAAGATGCTATTGCTTCCAGAAAGGTTAGCTGCCTGGGAATCTTGTTTCGGTTGTACACCATCTTTCAACCGGGCGGTTCAGCTGAGAGAACTGCACTCCTCAAGAGCATCACGGAGTTGAAGGTGGGTCATGGAGTGGCTGATGTCTTGTCTGGGATTCGCCAATGGAGGCGATGGATCCAACGAGCGCAGGAGTTGGGTCTGACCACCCCAGATCCTCTGGTCTTGGCGCAGGTGTTGAACAGGGTGACGGAGGCCTTGGGTCGACATGGAGGTGCTCAGGTCTCGTTTCGAATGGCTACAGCTAGGCAAGATCTGGCTGTAGATCAGTGCCCTACGATGGAATCCATCATGGAGTATGCAGAATACGTGCAAGCTGAGGCGGAGGACCTGGCCTTGGTGGTGGGTTCATCAAGGTGCCTACAACAAGTGTGAACACAAATGCAACTACTGCAGGGGGGTCGGCTGCGAAGGTGGCGGCATTCAATTCTTTGGCCTCCGCAGATGAGAAGCCAAAGACACCGTGAAGATTTTGGGGGTCAACTCAGGGATGTTGAAGGGGTGATCAGTGTACCTATTTGCATTCCTGGGAAGGCATGAACAAGCAGAACAGGTGCTCTGTTTGCAGCGGAGAGGGGCACATGTCAAAGGAGAGTCCAACTCGTAGAGAGCGAGATCAGAAAGATCAGAAGAAGGTGGCGAAGGTGAAGAAGCTTCGTCGACCAAAGATTCGCCAGTGAAGGGCGCAGAAGATCCTGACGGGTCGAAGGGGTCTGAGGCCGCTACTACGACTACATCTCAACCGAGTCCGGGGTCCTTGAAGAGCTCGCAGGCATCAGGGAGTCGGGAAGGGGGGAAGGACGGTAGCGGTGGTGGAGCTTCGACGGGGAGCACTGAGGCTACGACGGCATTGATTGCAGAAGCTACAAGTTTGCTCAAGTCCTTGAGGTCGCTCAAAGCATGCAGATTGAAACAGGTGTGCCAAATGCAGCCGGGGCTTGGGACAGAACAACAAGTGGCTTTGCTGGATGGAGGTGCAACTCACCCTCTCAGAACAGCAGAGGAGGGGGAACGAGCCCATCTCATTCCAGTCCAAGTTGAACTTGCACATGGCACTACAACACTGTTTAGAAAGGAAGGATGCAGCACACTGTTGTCATTGGATCCGGTGGAACCAATCATTCCATTGACTTTGCTGGTGCATCATGGCTTTCAGATCCAGTGGTCAAAGGATGGGTGTGTCATCAAGCATCCAAGACAGGGTCCAATTTCCTGTTGGTTGCGGGGGGTTGCCCCGTGATGGATCTCCGCAAGGCACTGGAAATGCTCCAGGAGTTTGAAGAGTTGGAGGGTCGTCGGGTGGACTTGGAACCCGAGGATGTGGCGTGGTGGAATGAGAATGTCCCAGGATTCCCCAAGGAGCTCCTGACCTACATGAAGGAACCCGTCGGGGGAGGAGCTGCCGTGGAACAGAAGGCAAAGAAGATCCCACCAGACAGCGAAGGGCATTGTGGTACACTTGTTTTCAGGGGCCAACCTGACTCGCTGGAAGAAGACCTTGCCGTCGGGGTATGCCTGGCATTTTCCTGGACACACAGCTTGCTCTCGCTTTGATCTTCACTCACCACCAATATGGGGATATCTTTGTTCATTGGCCAAGCAGGGTCAGCTACGAGCAGTATTAGGTGGCCCACCTTGTCGAACGACATCCAGGCTCCGCAACAAAGGACCGCCGGGTCCACGTCGAGTTCGAGGTCGGGGGCAAGAAAGATGGGGTGTTCCACAGTTGTCGGAGCACGAGGCCCAATTAACTGACCACGATTCAGCATTGGTTCTCAAGCAGGTTGGCCTTTGGAAGATGTCTGAGCAGAGCCCTAAGAGAAGGTTCAGAACTGGGTTTTTGCTGGAAAGCCCGCAAGATCCAGTTACGTACTTGGACACTCCAGAAAGCCAGGAATCCCCTTCGTTCTTTGAATGGCCTCAACTGCAGCAACTCTTGGAGGAAGATGGTATGCTTCGATCAAGGAGCAACAGGTCACTGCAGGAGGAAGCCTATAGGACTGTTGACCAATTTGCCGATGATGGAGCACCTGGAGTTTTGCAAAGGGGTGGAGCTACTGATCCCATTTGTGGGGATTTGAGTCAACGTATGGCAGCATCGAGGAGCTGGTCGGAGTGGTCGTCAGTCAGTATTCGTTGAAAGAAATGTTCAAAGAGGACGATGATGCAATCCAGGTGGCAAAGCTGAATCTGGATGAATGGAGACATGTCAGGATGCAGCGCGTGCCATTCAGGCGCGACTGCCGTGCTTGCGTCGAAGCGATGGGAATGCAACATCCCCATCGAAGATCCAACCAGCGTCAGCAGCCTTCACCTTGGCGATTGACATCATGGGTCCGTTCACCTATGGCAAGGACCTTGCAACTGGAAGGATGGCCAGGTACGCGCTGTTGGGTACAGTGCCTATTCCAGTTCCTGATCAGCTCCCAGGAGCACCAGAGGTTGAGACTTTGGAAGAAGAGCACATGGAAGGAGTTGAGCAGGTGGAGGGGCTGGAGGAGGAAGAAATCGAAGATCAAGCTCCCGGCCCGAGAGAAGAAGAAGGGGTACTGGGAGAGGCCATAGCAGGGGATGAGGAGCCGACGGATCCAGATGATCTTGAAGCCATCCAAGAGCTGATGAAGCCCCACGCACTCCAGAACATCACAATGATTGAGATCCTGGAAGATCGAAGTGTCACCTCGCTACTAGCAGGACTATCTCGACTACATGCTCGGTTTCGCTGTTTGGGTGTCAATTTGGTGCGGCTTCACAGCGATCGAGAAAAGGGCTGCTATCAAGAAGGGTGGCAACCTGGTGTGGACATAGACACATGGTCCACACCTTCACACAAGGTGATGATCCCCAGAGCAACGGCAGAGCTGAAGCTGAAGTACAACAAGTGAAACGTCGTCTCAGACTCATTCTGCATCAATCCAAGGTGGAGCATGAGCTGTGGCCTGGAGCCATCAGGCACGCGGCAGAAGAGCGGTGCCGCCAACAGCTTCAACATCTGGGAATTGCAGATCAACCTATGCACCGATTTGGGGCCATGGTTGCAGTCTGATCGAAACGTTGGCACAAAGCAGGACAGGTAGCAAATCCATTTGTGTCGATGCAGCTGGTAGGTCCTAGCCCACTGATGACCAATGGTTGGGTTGTGAGAAGGGGGATAGAATCCAGCATGTTCGAGCAGCCATCCAGCCAGTTCCAGAAGCTGACCGAGCCATATTAGAGCTGGGCAATCGATGCTGAGGAAGCCCGGCGCGGGCGAACAGGCAAGCAGCGCCTAGACCCTCATCCACTTGAAGATGTGATCCCCAGGCTGTATGAGCCAATCGAAGGAGTTGCGAGACCTGTCCTGGCAGCGCTCACACACTTCAGGACAGGGGGGTCTCAGCCGATGAAGAAGGCTTCTTTTTGCAACCTGATTCGAATCCAGTGGCAGAAACGCCAATCCAAGGAATGAAAGAGTGTCCGGATTGTGGTCTTCTCCAGGAACGACGAGAAGGTCAAGAGCGGGATCTTTGTGATCAAGATCGAGGAGGTCCTTGTGATTTTTGCGGGTGCCAGGAGATGGGATGGGGAGCAGGACAGGGAGATGCACAGGTTCCGGGGGAGGAGTTCTGTGATCATGAGCCGTGTTCGTGGACCCAAGCCGGTCCTCAAGAAGATGTGGTTGGAGCAGTTGAACTTGACGCCACTGGGTCCTATGCAAGGAAGAGAACGCGGTCAATGGCTGCAGGAATTGGAAGAGAAGTTGAGAGTTCAGGAAGAGTGCTTGACGAGGCAGCACAATGCTTTGGAGAGGTGGGGGCTGGCAGCTCTGGATGGCCAACAACAGGATGAAAGGCCGTTACTGGTGTTGCAGACTTACACGGTCCCCTTGGCTCAGGCGCGAAGAGAGTTGCGCAAGTGGGTGGAGCCCTTCAAAGATGAGTATACTTCACTGTCTCAAACGACCGAGGCTATCTTCCCAACAACTGAAGAGAGGCATTGAAGCTGGATCCTCGGTATCCAGATCGAGAAGAAGCACCAGCCATGCTTGTGCCTACGGTCGCCATCGTGCAAGGGTGGTCATTTGTGGAAATCAAGGCAGTCAATCCACTTGAAGCTTCAACGTCAAGCTCACCCTTCGAGCTTTATGCTGGCAGAGCAGATGCTACAGTGCTCAGAGCTTTGCTTAGGAAGAGTGCATTGGAAAGGTGGACAACGGCAAGTCTGGACGTCAAGACTGCGTTCCTTCTGGCTCCAAGGAGGGATGCTTCCCAAAGGCTGTTGATCACAGGTCCACCAAAAGTGCTGATCGAAGCTGGTGTTTGCAAGCAAGGAGAAATTTGGTAAGTAAAGAACTCATTGCACGGCCTTCAGGAAGCTCTATCAACTGGGCGATTTTTCGGGACGATGAGATGGCTCGATTTCGGTGGGAGGACACTGGAGTGGGTTGGCGCTTGGCGAGAACTCAAGAGCCGAATTTGTGGAAGGTCGTCTTGGACGCTCCGGAGAAAGCGAAGATGCCTGACAAGGTCTATGCCTTTGTGGCTGTCTATGTGGATGACATCCTGGTCACGGGGGAGGACTCAGTTGCTCGCTCCACTGTTCGAAGATTTCAAGATCAATGGAAGTGCTCTTCGCCGGAGTGGCTGACTCAAGAACACAGCCTGAGATTCTGCGGTTTTGAGATCTCTAAGGAACCTCAGGGGATTCGCCTCCATCAGAATGCCTACCTCAAGGATCTCCTGGCTAGGTATTCTGACTTGAAACCTGCATCCAGCCCGCTGCCTGGTAGGTTGGATGATTCTGATGAACCGAACCCGGACATCCAGGAGGTTCGACGTGCACAGACCTTAGTGGGCGAGCTCCTCTGGCTGGCAGTTCGGACAAGGGTGGACATCGCCTACGCAGTGTCTTGGCTTGGAAGGCATGTGGCTCGCTGTCCGGCGCGGGTCCAAAAGTATGGAGCACAAGTTCTGTATTTTTTGCACGGCGCTCCGGATCATGGCCTTCTGAAAACCCATCACTCTGAGGGAGATCATGGACAGGGTGAAGACAAGGGCATCCACATGTACTCCGACGCCTCGTTTGGTCCACCGGGCTCTCGAGGGCATCAGGGGTTGATGGCTATGTACTCAGGTGATCCAGTGGGAAAGCAAACAACAACCATTCGGAACCGTGTCAAGTTCAGAATCGGAGCTTATGGGGTATTCTGATGCCCTTAAGATGGGGGAATCCTGCGCAACCATTGTGGCAGTTTTGGAAAGCGGGGATGCAAATGAACCCATCGATTGCGTCCTTCATGGCGATTCGCAGTCCGGCATTCGAACACTACAGTCGCCTGACGGGCCATGGAGGGCCCGGCATCTGAGATTGAGAAGCTATGTGCTGAGGGAGCGTATTCGCACTGGATGCTGGCAGGCTCGGCACGAACCAGGAGCTTCGCTGTCGGTGGACTTGCTGACAAAGTCAATTGTGAGCCCCTCTTCATGGTCCCGCTTTCGAGAGTTCACCGGGCTGCGCACGGGTGCATCGACCATCGAGGCTGTGGAGAACAACTCCCGAGTGAAGAAGCTGATTGGACTTCTGAGTGGGCTGATAGGAGTAGCTTGCTGGCAACCGATGCAAGAGCATGGCAAGGTTGCCAAATGTGTCACACTAGCTGCCGTAGCTTCCAGTGTAGCTGGTCTGATGGGTAGGAAGGGTGGAGAAGACCTGTCACCCGGCATCGGCTCGGATGAAGGCATCCATGAAGAGTGATGTCGAAACAAGAAAAGATCCAGATGGGAAACGAACCTGCCCCCCATCCGGAACGCGACATTAGCCCATCGGGCTCCCTCGGCCGCGAGCGCGAGCGAAAGCCATGGTTGGAACTGCCTCCCAAATTGAGCGCCTTGAGATCATCTGTGACCCACGTTGGCTTGGGGACCGACTTGCCATGGGAGCTGACGAGGCTCCAAACCCCGCCAACGGGGAATGACAGGTGGGAGCGCCTTGGCGTTGGACAGGGCGGCTGCGAATGGTGGGTTAGATGTTTGAAGAAGTCAAGGGTTCGTTCTTTTCATCCACTCCACAGGGGCACACCAATGTCAATAGGCAGGCTGTCTGCCACTCGCGTCACTGTGGCTTTTTCCCGGGGAAATCCTCGAGCAGTCTGGAAGAGAACTGTGGTGACCGGCGACTGGATCGAGAATAGGAATTGTGATGTGGAAGGACTCTACGAATGGTGTGGAGACGCCTTCTTCTACGTGAAGTTTGGTGCCCTGCCAAAAGGTGAGACGGGGGCCCAAGATCGGCATGACTTTTTGCCAGGACCAGTACCCCCTCCTGGATCGGTGTCACCTATCCAGGGCTACGGAGGCTCTAATCCTGGGAGTTCAAGGGCAGCACAACGAGGCCGAAAGGCTTTGCAACAGGGTGAACACCTATGGGTTGAGGATGGCATCACCTACGATGGAGTGGGAATCAGTGCATGTGGCAGTGAGTCCATCGAGGGTGGCAAGATGACGGGCTATGAGCTTCGACTACATGGGCGCGAGCAAAGGGGGGAGATCGATCAGGATCCAAGTCAAGAAGCCAGGAACATGGCACAATCATCAGGAGGTAGTGATTTGCTACCCCCTGAAGCAGATCTGGATGGGCATTGGAACTGAGGTACATCCCCCTCCCGGACTCGAGAAGAACTGTGAAGACACAGAGTCGGACGGGAGTTTTGAGCATGTGACTGTTGGTAGATGAAAAAACCTACCTTCAGTGCGTGATGGCGACTCAAGAAAAGCACGTCCGTTTTGTCCATGGTTTGTGGACGCCTAGGCTCATTTCACTTTGTAGCTGCCAATCTGGGTATGACAACCAAACAGATTCGAATCATGAACTGACAAGTTGCCACAGGACCAAGGTTGTTTGAACCGATCTTGAAGGGATCGCAATAGAAATGTTGCATTTGTTGCATACAAAAGAACACAAAAAGAACACGCATACAGGTCCATACATACAGTGTGTATATAGTCCAATACTGCCATGGCATCGTGGAGGAAAGTAGCAAGGCCTGCAGGCAAACAAGCTATTTAGAGGTCGTTATAAAAACTGGTCATTTACCGTTTCACTAAAAGGAAGGTAGCAACTATGAACCTAGAGTAGAAACCACATACGCACAAGCAACCGCAAGGGTGAGCACAAGATTTATACATATTATATGGGTGCTCGCTGATTAGGAGGTTCCTGGGAGCACAACTTACACAAGTAGTGATTTGCGAACCATTTGCCTGCAACCCATATGATCTGGATCCTGAAACCAAAAGATAAAACAATGATTTGGAAACGATGTTCATCCTGCAAAGGTTTGGACTAGTCTGGAAACCAGTTGTTTTTGTTTAGTTGCTGGCCGCTCTTGGTGCGGATTAGCTGTTCTTCAACAACGGGAACCACTGAGTCACGGGCGCACTCTGTCATTCTGCCGCATGTGAATCATAGGAGTGTCATGAATCATGAACCTCAGGCGCGGACCATTCATGGTTGAAGCAGCTAAAGCCAGACCCAGAGACAGAATCTTGGACTTAGTGGATGAACTCAGATGCTTCCCTGTGTACGCATGCACTTCCACCGAGCCAGCTACCATGAATGCTCAGCCAAGGAGAAATACCAGCCAAACAAACGAAGTCGACAAGTGAAATCAGGCGCAGCTGGATTTCACGTGCCAAGTGAGGAGGCAACAAGACTGCGTGTTTTATTATGTTTATTACTTGGAGGTGGCCTAACAAGGTACTGCAAGTATGTAGAGGCTTTGGGGTCGTACATTGGCTGAAGGCTGAGAGCCGCTACGCAGCTGCTTTCAGCTTTGTTTTCAGGCCACTATGTTTTGGTGGCGCCCACTCCTTTGCCGGAGCCGAAGCTGCTGATACATTCGCCTCCCATGGCAGAGGCGGGAAGGGGTGCGCAAGGCTCAGACAATGCCTGGGCAACTTTACTGACAGAATGGTGCGCGGGTGGTGTCATAGCAGGCTCAAGGCAAGCCAAGTGTTTTTAGCGCTTGTTCTATAGCCCATGAAGTTTGTCAAATGATCTTTGGAATCTTCATTCCACGGTATTACTTCCCTGTATGGGCTGCTTGTGCGCGACAAAACTGAATATTGGCAGGCCCTTGGAATCTCCGAGGAAGAGCGCCAGTCGAAGGACACTGCGCACAAGTCATTGTCAAGTATCTCCGGGAGATGAAGATGCTCAAAGATTCATGACACTTAGGAAGGATGTTGGATCCCACAATTCATGGACTGAGCACATACTATCTAAAGGATTATTTAGAACATGTATAGCGCCGCCACTTGTTTAGATCTCATTGTGAATAGACCTGTAAGAGCTGCAGCGGTAAGCTTGTAAGCACAGTTGCATGGCCATCGACATCCCTCCAAGGAAGACTCCAGTGCGTTGAGATTGCGTGGACATGCATCAGGTTTCCATGGTCCCATGATGGTTGAAGTGCCAGCAGCAAAGCGCACTGATAAACTCAGAAACACAGTTCATGAACCAAGGCAATTCGCCTTCGGTCTCATGTGACGGTTAGGTGGGACTGGACATGAGGTGCACTTTGAGGTTAAGGTGACGGTGTTCAACTTCTTTTTTATCTAATTTTACACGTTGATCAAACTAATCGGTAATCTTTCGATTGCCATTTTGGCGATGAGTCGCCTCTCGAGCACCGCCAGGTCAATTTGGACCTGTGTTTTTGGTTTCTGTGTTCGGTGGGCCTGGGCGGTGCTCGTCGATGGCTGGATCAGAAAGTCGTTGGCCAGCGGCTTTTGAACGGCAGAGGCAGATGGCGTCCGCTCGATGGGATGACAGTTCGTCAATGGCTTCATGGGCTCGTGTTGAAGAAGAACCTGATCGATCGTGCAGGGGAGCCCTCCATGCCACAGGTCCCAGAGGGGCAAGACGCCAAGAATGATCAAGCTGATCAAGAGTCTACGCCTGTTCAGGGTGCTCCTCCTCCTCCACCAGCTGGTGGACCTCCGGGATGGGATGCAGCTGCTCCTGCAAGCTCTGGGCAATCACCTGCCCCCAAGGCACCTTGATCAACCATAGTCATGACACACCAGCATCACGCCGGCTCCGGCGACAGCAAGAGCAAGCTCAACGTCGAGGTCGACGAGGAGTTCGGTGGGGTCAAATGGCACCAGGCACCAGGGAACCTAGCACACAATCCTCTCAATGCCAGCCTGCCTTCCAGATCATATTTCACAGATCAGATCGGGTGAAGGCGAGCGATCGATCTTGATCATCGATGGACGGGACAGACGTGTTCAATCTCCCTTCCAAGGATGGCTCTTGGACGAAGTCCTGACCAATGCTCTGCATGGGCTTCATCAATGTCCGCTTGGACAGGCACCTGGTCAGGTCTCCATCCAGTGGGTACCACATGAACCTGTTCATGATCAAGACGATGGATGGTGTCAAGGTCACCATTTGTGCCTCGATGACATCGTATGCAAATGTGCCCTGCATGTGCTCGGTGGGATGCGTTGACCGGCTCGGTTTTGGCTCATTCAGCATTTCAACCGTTCAGGTGGCCTCAGATGACAGAGACCTCTGCGACTTGGGTTGATGTCAAACTGAAGCTAGAAGGGCAGGTCGTCCTCCACCTCGAACTTCGAGGGTACAGGGGCGATGGTGATATGTCGGTTCAATTGTGGCATATCTGTGATGCGATCCATAGCCTTCTTCAGGACACCGTGTTCGCGCCAGCCTTTGTGGTGACGATCTTCCAGGGGTGGGGTGTGGTGGCCACCTCCTGGGAGGTCGGCGGCAGGCTGCACGCTTGTTCAGAGGGAGGGGTTGTCGTGGCATTGGATTTTCCGCTTTGCCACGTGGAGGTGCGGTTCGTACGCGGACCGCCTCGAATTCCGGTTCCTGAGCGCGGCCGATCGGCTAGATGTGGTGGCGAACATCGTGCTGGTTCCGCCTACGTGGCTGGTTTGCTCGAGGATCTCGGGCCCTATGCTGATCAGAAATGCCCGCTGGTGCAGAGACCACGCAGCTCGAGTTGAGTGCCCTGAGATCAGGCCTTAAAGCTGTCACAGCTGGCTGCGGTGCATTCGCACTGGACGGCGACTACGGAGGCTCCAACCGAGTCGGAGACTGGCCCCAGGATTTCAGCGATCGCAGTTGAGAGCAATCTCAACGTGCGCCTGGTGAGTGAGTCCCCCCTCTTTCGAAAGGAAAGAGTGCTGGTCAAAGCAGAAGCGCTCGCGCTGCATGATCATGACCCTCTGGACGAGGTCGTGGCTAGCGTGATGCCGCCTGTGGTTGATGGGCAGATCGGGTTCGGCCTTTGCGAACGCAAGGGGCTAGCGGCCCTTGATCCGACAGCCGTTCTCCGCAAGCAGGCGGCGATCAAAGGACTCCTGCATCGACCGATGCCTCCCCCGAAACGTTCCAAGCTCTCGGAACCGACTAGCTCGTCGTCGACCCCCCTCCTCGACAAGGAGAAGAACGCTAAGCTTTAAGTGGAAATGGGCCGCGCGGCTAGAAGAGATCGGGAAGAGGGCTGGCAACCACGCTCGTCTGTTCCGTGATCAGGAGGGCGAAGGGGTCGAACTTTCTATGGGGAGAAGCTCCAGCTGAAACAGCTCGTGCTGGTAGCAGGGGCCCATCGGACCATGGCAGCTCACGCGCAATCGTACGAGAGACTGGAGAAGTGGTTCGGTGCCATGGGTTTGACCTTGTAGTCCTCAAATTTTGTCTTTTTCTGAACGATCGTGCATGTGGCCCCACTGTACCCTCACTCAGGGCAGCGGTCAAATTGATGACATCGAGGCTCGCGATCGATGCTCCGGACTTTGAGGACCCCATATTCGTGGCCCTTCAAAAGAATATCATTGAAGAGCGGGCTAAGACCCTGAAGGAGGCCGTGCCGTTTCCGACCTCGCTCGTAGGTGAACTGGAGTTCTATGTGTTGGATGAGGAGAAACCGGCCCCTTCTCGAACTTTTGTTTGGCGGATCTTGTGCATGATTTTCGCCTCGCTTCGCTTTGATGACTCCATCCACATGAAGCCGACCGAGCTGCGAATGGGCAATGAGGGCCTGTTCGGCGTGGCATGGCAGACTAAGGTCGAATGACGCAGGGCGGGCACCCGCTTCATCGTCCCCAAGATCGGGCTCAAAGAATCCTCATGGTTGGAAGTGGGTTGGGATATTTTTCAAGACACCATGACCGCCGATCGTGATTTTTGGATCCCGGAACTCAATGCTCTGGACTAGTTCAAGTCAGAGCCTCCAACATATGCTCGGACGCTTCAATGGATGAAGTGGATCTGCCGCAGGACCTCTGATCAGAGCCCAGCACTGGACCACGAGACCAAGGTCGGACATGCCAAGGTCATCAACTTGCTGACCATGCACTCCTGTCGAGTGACACTGCTCGACGCAGCAGTCGACGCTGGCCGCTCGGCAGAGGAGATCGGTCTTCAGGCCAACTGGATAAAACCGGTCGTCAATTCCGCGGTCATGATCAAGCAGCTCGTGAAAGACTTGGTTCAAGAGAACCATCCTGTTCAGGAGGATGATCAGACGATGCTGTTTGATTTGTGTGACTCGGAGCTCAGTTCGATCGAATTCTATACATCAAACAGCCCAGCCAGGGCAGCTATTATGAGTATAAGTTCCACTGCAACTCAGCTGTCAATCAGGAGACGACCGCATGCAACAAGTTCAATCTTGTTGACTGCTCGTCGGTGGGAGATACTCTACCAGAGCCGGCTGTGTTCTGCAAGGCGTGCTCTAAGGCTCGCCCTGAGGTCATTCGTCGTTCGACGATGGCGCCGCCGCTGGACACAAGGGACACTCATGAGGTCGCCTCGGCGCGTTTGGGAACCGTGGTTGGGACCGGGTCGGACTCGACGGCGGACTCACGTTCGTGATCTCTGCGATCGAAGTTTTCCGGCTCACAGGTCCGTCCGGGAGCCCAGCAGCCATGGTCGATCGAACAATCTACGCTCCGGATGCCATACCCGAACTGAGCCTTCGTCAGGTGTTTGGGAGGGATCGGCTCCCTCAAGCCCTGCGCAGGGTAGTGGCAGACAAGAAGCTGTTGTCGATCAAACAATTCGCCATGGCTACAATAAGGACACCTTTAGTTATACCAAGTTATAAGTAGGGTTAAGTTATATTATAACGTGCCTTAACATATGTTTTAACATGGTGCAACATGGGCTAACTTGAAGAGGACTTATAAGTTGGTTATAAGTAAGTCACCACTTTTATAGAACTTATAAGTTAGTAAGCGCATATACATGTTTTTAGTTAGTTAGAACTTACAGAACTTACATTTTTCGCCTTTCAAAATTGAAAAAAAAAAGAAACTTGGTCCAGGAGAGCAACGAAACCAACCAATACCGCTTAGCCTCGAAGTTTTTCATTCTTTTGTTTGTTTGGAAAGTATGACCAGGAAAACAGGTCGGCTGAGGACAGTCTGAGTGCACTGTTACATTTTTGCAGTTTGTTGTGCTATGCGTGTTGTTGTGCTTGAGCGCGGTAGTCCGCGCACTGCAGCAGGGTCTGGTTTGAACGCGGTAGGGAAATGCGGCCAAGCGCATGCAGATGCAGTGTTGGGAAAATTTGCCGTGCTTCTTGTCTCAACATCTATGGCAGCGCTTGGATGATTCGTCGGTCAACAGCACTGCAGCCTTGGAGGAGTTGGTCAAGCACGCGTTCAAGATGGGGCTGAGGTGTCCATCCGAGCTCACACAAGCCCTTTTCACAGCCATGGTTGTCCTCAAGCAACCTGAAGAGAAACAACGCGCACTGCAAGCTGGAGGCCCTGACCTTCGCAGTCTTTTTCTCAATGTCAAAGGGCGTGTCCACTCGTTGCTCAGCCGAATGCGAGGCGCTTCACTCCACCCACTCCCAGATGATGAATACCTTTCAAGCCTCCCTGCAGACCCGGCGCAGGCCTCTGAAGCTTTGAGGCGCGTAGCCTTCCCGCCTGATGGGCAACCAGTGCCTTCAAAGTGGTGCCTGGTGGACTTGCAGCCTTTGGCGTCGAAGGTGCCCTTGCGCTCCACCAACAAGAGTGCGTCTTCGAATATGGGCCTTGAAAGCAGTTGTCAAACTCAGATGATGGCAGCGCAGGCAATGATGATGTGGAACGCTGCAATGCACATGGCAGCTGGGGCTCAGC